GTTAAAATAAAGGGCAATAAAATACACGTAGTACAGCTACTACACCTGATTTCAGTCCTGCTGCAGATTTACTCCACCTGCAAACTTACACAAGCCAAATAATTTACATCCACTCACAGCACTGTTTACAGGTGAGCTGTAAACCCATACAAGCCAAATAATTAATTTACACCCACTCACAGCTTTCCTGTTCACAGGTGAGCTGCAGCACTGCTCGTCTCCGATCACACTCTGCTTTCTTGTTCTCAACATGAGCTTGGGCTTGAAAAAAGAAAACCAGCATGTTCCCTGAGGGGTGGAGGAAGCCAAACAACTTGTGGGGTGGCAGGGACAGTGCAACAACATGACCTGCTGTGGGTGCAGAGCATTTAAGGCCACATTTTCCTGGCTGCTACAAGACAACACGAGTAAGGGAGTAGCTCACAGCAGGTTTATTTGGGATAAAAATAAGTCACTGCAGTCACAGGCATGGCCAAAACAGTCCAGAATTTATTCGTCAAGGATTTTCTGATAATATTAAAGAAGCTGCAATAAAAGTGTATGAGTTACTTCACAAAAAAATAGGGAGAACTGCTCATTTTTTTCCCCATTTTACAACATCTTGAATCTCTCACTGCGGAGCAAAGACTTACAGATGGTATGTGCTTGGATACACAAAGCTCGTTTCWGCTCAGACTTTCCTTTGATTCCTTGTATTTCTTACAGAAAGTGTAATATATATCACCCTAAGGATATAAGACCATTTTCTGAGTTTGCAGTGAAAATACCCGCTGCATGGTGACCCACCCGCAAAGCATTATTTCCAAAAATCAGCTTTAAAAAAATAATGCCCAAAAACACAACAAAATACTCAATATCTGGATGACACTGATAATAATTTCACACCCAGCTATCCCAGACAGTGCCAGCTCAGCCCAAGTCACCTCCACAGGTATGTTTCCTCACTGCCACAACCATCTGTAAGGACTTTTCCAACCACAGTGATTCCCTGAGCCCCACAAGGCCCTGGAAGGCAGGCAGGGAGCATGTGGCATCCACTGTGTTAACAGAGAGGTTTTTGTCATGGTACACGAGTGTTCCCAGCACTATTTCAGCAAAAGCACTTGGGCAGCTGTGCTAAAACAGCGTGTTAGTGCTCCCTGGGGCTGCTGCCAGCAAGGGCCCCTGGAAAACTGGCAGGAAAGAAACAAGGATTGCTGTATCCCAGCTCATGCCATTTCTAGAAATGTTACAGCAGCAAATGAAATGGCATCTATCAAGGTTTTTATTATAAACCTTACCTCTACACAAATGTCACTTTGCTTAAGAAATGAGAAAAAAAGCATTGCTAGATTCTAGATCTAAGCACCACTGACAACTCCATCATATTGCCTGGAAAATGTAACRCTTACAGGGTTCCTTTTTAGGCAAGGTTTATTCTTTTTCTATTCAAAAGAAARAATATCAATATTGTTATAAAAAGATGACAAGAGTGCAATTTCCATCCCTTTCCTGAGCTGAAAAAGGCCAGCTTGAAGTGACTGCATCAATACAGGCCACACATCTCCCAGGGCTCTGGGGAAAAAAGGCAGCAGGTATCAAATTGATTCTAGCTTTTGAGAGTGTGGTGCATTTTAAAATCTATAAATATCTAAATATTGATTTAAAAAATGCTCTGTGGTATCAACAAGCCAAACTCTGCAGCACTTTGCTAATCTGTAACAAGTAAGTACACCTACAATATTTATTTCTAGGCCTTTGGAGATTTGAGGAGTCTTGTAAGTCTTCAGTTTGTCCTATTAACCCACCAAAGGAGAATGGGAGAAGCTCTCCCCAAGACCATATTCAGGAGCCCAAGTGCATCAGGTTGAATGGCACAATGGGATCCTCCTAGGAGAAGTTATACTGGGAATCATACGACACGAGAGGAACTTTGGAGTCTTGAGCAGGCAGAAATTCACGTCATGAGCAAGTCTCACCCTTCCCTCTCCTCCAGAGCATGAACCTTAAACTCCTTAAAGCCTCATGAGCATCGCAAGAACTTCTGTAGCAAACAAGTCATTTAGAGAACAGCTTCCACGTTTAAACAAAAAACAGGGGTTACATGAGTTTCAAATGCACTGCTGAGGACTTTGGCTCTTGCCAAAATACCAGAGATTTTAAGAGGAGGCTTCTAAGTCACAGTTGGTTGTTATATTCGCTCCCAGCTCATGCTGCTACGTTAAGCAGCCATGCCACAAGAACTGTTAATTCTCTCTTAGCAGCTGTAAAATTTTGCTCCAAAAATATATGAAAGGAGACAAAAATACAGGAATAKTCCCAAAAAGCCAAGCTACGTCTTTGCACGGCTAACAAGCTTTCCCCAAACATTAACACAAATGACAACGCCTGGCTTTGTATCACAAGGGTGGACACACGCTAAAAGAATCAGGATGGGTCACAACCTACCACCCTCCCTCAGCTGTGCCACCCTTCCCCAGGAACTCACTGAGCCAGACACAAGTGTGGGATTGATAAATCACAATGAAAGCGTGGCCTTAGTGCTCTCTACAGCTTATTAACCCATATGCACACTGCAGAGCTTTCCAAAGAGACCACACACGGAATTAACTGACTGGCCAAACAGTAATTCAACTTATTCAACACAAAGCCCTATTAAGAACAGCTATCTTGACACTAGCTATAAGACAGAGCAACAACCCACATAGCCCTGGCAACACGGGAGGTAGTAACTTCCTTTAACAACAAGGATAAATAAACCCAAAATGCTGAGACTAAACACCATCATATTAAATAACACAACAAGATCAGAAGCACCTGCACAGAYTTCTTCTCAAGTTAATCCAGGCTCATGACCTTTGACTCCATCTTCCAAAGAGCAGCCACTGCACTACCACTAATTACTGACACCACARTTGCACCTAAAGGCCTCACTTAGACCATCAGGAAGCCCCAGTAAACAATATCCATTAAAAATCCATCTGCTTTCACCCAACATTGACAAGTTTTGYATTGCTGTACACCAAGAGAAGCATAATAGTCATGCAAATATACTACCTGCACCATAGCAGCAACACAAATCCTCATTCTATAGGCAACACTTGGACCGCGTGGACACAGCGCAGCTAAAACCCAAGGGCTTTTGCCCACTTTTCACACATCAATAAGAGCACTTACAAAGCACCAGGAGCCGCCAAGAAGCAGAYACTGCGATATCAGCTACAAAAAGCTTTTGCAACACCAACAAAGAGAGAAAAGAAGCTAATTTTAGACCTCCCATGGACTTTGGGAGAAAACCCTTTATATTGAGGCCCAAGCTCTTTATACATGGGAGTTCCCAAACAAGAAGGAAGAAAACAACATAGGAAACACATGACTTCTATAAGACCGCTTCACTTTTAACACGAACTTTCCCCAAAATTCAATGCGTTGTTTATAGGCAGAGCCTGTAAGACCAAAGGGACTGCCAGGAGCCCTTTGGGTGAATATCACCTTAATTTCTAAAGGTTTGGGCCCCATCCTCAAGGCCGCTAAATTAAAATAAAATACGCGGAAAAAGAGGCAAGGGAAGRCGGACAGGCCACGCACTCCAGCGAAACTTCATTCGGCGCCGGGGCTGCCCAACACCCCTTTGCTCCCCCTGTGGCGGCCGTTACGGCCCCGCCAACGGTCACCGCAGGTGCGGCCGTTAACGGCGGCCAGCGGGTGACACGCGCCCGCGGAGCGGCCCCCGCGCGCGCCCCGCCGCGCCGCGCTCGGCCAATGGGAGCCGCGGTTACTGCCGCCCGTTTACCTCAGCCCMACGCCGCGCTCCTCCCGGGGCACCGAGACCCGCGCGCGGAGCTGCCCCGGCCGCCACGGCGCCTCTTCCGCGGACCGAGGCACGCCGGGAGCGGGGCGGGGCCTGGGGCGGGGCCTCCGCGGAGGGGGCGGGGCATGGCCGAGGGGGCGGGGCGTGCCGCCTAAGTGCCCCGCGGCCGCAGCTGCGGCCGTGCAGCCTGATTATAGGGCCCGAAGAGCCCATACATAGGGTTTAAGGTAAGAGCTTGAGGGACTTGTACCTATATTAGGCTGGGAGGGGCAATATATAGGACATAGSGTGCCTATAGAGGACGTAGGGCACCATCATATAAGACCTGAGAGGTCTGTGCCTATGCATGAAGCCTAGGAGACCAGTATATAGGACATAAGGTGCCAACGTATAGCACCTGAGAGGCCTTTACCTGTAAATAAGGCCTGGAAGCTCGTATTCACAACATAAGGTACCAATATATAGGACCTCAGGGACCTGTAGCTGTAACCAGGGACTGACAAAAAAATGAGCACAAGACATAAGAAACCAGTATATATGTCTTCAGCAGTCTGTACATATGTACACGGCCTGAAAAGTCAGTATGTAGASTATAGGGTACCCATATGTTCTGAGGGCCTGATGTACCTACATGGAAGGCTGGGGGCCTCTATATAGAACCTAAGGTGCCTATCTGTAGTTACGTGTATCTATGACTTGAGGAGATGCCTCTACCCCCATCCATAGGGCGCTGAGGAGAGCCGATTCCCAGCGGTTCTCTGTCCATCCCGTTCCATTTTCCCTCATTTTTACACTCTCTCACAGGGCATTCCCCCTCGTCCCCCCCATCCAGTGTCTCCCATCTCCGTGGCTTCTCTCGGCCCCGCCCCCCGCGGCCTTAGCCACGCCCCCGTCACACTGGCCACGCCCCCCTCCGCGCCCAGCTGTGGAGATTCCCTGCCCTCCAGCCCGAACGTGGCCCCGCCTCCCGCCCGTAGAGGGGGGAAGGAGACGACCAATCGCCTCTCCGCACAGGGGCGCCGCGCGCCTCTGATTGGCGGCCGCGGCGTCGCTTGACAAGCCCCGGGCCGGGCAGCGGAGCGCGCCCATTGGCGGACGCCTCCCTCGCGCCCCGCCCCGCCGCCCTCCCCCCCCCGCCCGGGCGGCAGCAGCAGCCGCGGCCGCCGCAGCGCGATCGTGGCGGTGCGCGCGGGGCGGCCCGAGCGGCGCGATGGCGGCCACGGCGGGCAGGGCGCTGCCGCTCCTCCTGCGCCGCGCCGCGCTCCCCGCCGCCGCCGGCCGCTTCCCGGCGCTGGGGCGGCGCCGGCAGCCGCAGCGACACCGGCCGGTGAGTGGGGAGGCAGCTGTGCCCTTCAAGGCGGCGGCTGCCGAGGCGAGGAGGGAAGGGGCGGGGGGGGGGCGCGACCGTTGAGAGGAGCGCGACCGTTAAGGGGGGCGCGACCGTTGGGCGGCAGCGACCGTTGGGCGGGCGCGGCGGCTGGGCGGGCGCGGCCGTTGGCACCGCGTGAGGCCCCGGCGGCGGCAGCGGGGGGCACGGAGCCGAGCTGAGCGCCCCCGGCCCGGCCGCCTCCTGCCGCTCCCCTGGGCGGCTGCGGCGCGGGCGAGGGGCGCCCGGGGCCGGCGGCGGCGCAGGCCGCTCGCGGGGGCCCCCGGCGCGCGGCAGCTGCGCGTTATTCTTAGCGCCGCCGTCACGGCCGCGGGCGAAACTTGAGCGCAGCCCCGCGCCGCCCCCCGCGAAACAGCCCGCTCGAAGGAGCCGAGCCTCGAGCGCGCGCCCGAGACCTTCCCGCGGCTGAGCCCGCGCGGCGTTACCGGCGCCGCGGCGGGGGCGGCGGGGGAGCCCCGGGGGCTCCGCGGCGCGGCCGGCAGGTGGCGCCGCCGCGCGGGAGGGAGGGGGCCATGCCCTCGGGCCCCTTCTCCCCCCCCCCGCCCTTCTGGTTTGTACCTTGTTTCCCCTCTTTTTTGTTCATTATTTATTTATTTATTTATTTATTTATGGAGAAGTAGCGTGTTTGTCGGCTCCAGCGCAGCCACGCACGGCTTAACCCGCCCCCCCTTAGCAGGGAATCCTCCGAAAGGTTGAAACTTGGAGCTTGGACGATCCGCTAAAAAATAGGGCTACTTTTATTTCTTTGTAAGATAAAGTAGCGGTGCGCGCAACCTTTCACTATTCCCCTTGCTGCAATCTCTTATGTATCTGTACCTGTTATATGTAAGCTCTATATATTTTAAAAAGAGCCCAYGGTCGAAGGTGGGGACCTCTCGCTTGTTGCTTTTAACTCACTATGAAGCTACAAAAAAAGCCACAAAAATTGTGTGTCCATTAGGTCGTGAAGCAGGAGTCTGAGCTCGTCTGGAAAGCGGACGTAGCCGCGGTTCCCTGTGTGCCGTTGGAAGAGCAGCTCAGCACTTGTGTGTATTTTGTGCCTTCAGAGAGTGGGAGCTTTCTCTGTCTGTATCAATTAATGTGTTTCTGCAACCAGGGAGTTCGTGCCGGCGTCAAGTGTCTTGATGCATCCGTCCAGTATCTGCCCAGTGGTCATTTAAATGCAGTGTTGAAYTGAAACTCATTAAAACCAGCCCAACAACGAGGCTACCGGTGCTGAATCTTGCTCAGGTATTCTAGTGTGCAACAGCTTTTTCAGCCTGATTCAGCTTTCATAATTGTCATTATGTTATCTTTCTAACCAGCCTGGCCTTGAGAGCAATAAATTATTTATCTAAATTTGAGTTGACCTTTGGGATTGATTTAACAAGAGACTCGATCTGATCCTGCTAATCGAGATATGTAGAAGCAAACATAGGAGAAGTGAAAGATTCAAACCAGCTGTTAAAAAATATTGYAAGTGTCTTCACCTGGGCTGCTTTTCCTAGCTGAAAAGACATTGCTGAAACATAGGCACGCTCGGAGGTGCCCTGAAGCCATCCTGCCSGAGCTGTCTCTTTTGGGTGGGTTAAATTGATTTCTGGCCACCTGGCAGCCAGCAATTTACGCTGTTTGTTTCGGATACCTGCAGACTTTGTACATGAGTCAGTTCAAACAGTTTGTAAGCACTGTGTGTGTGGTTTGTGGCAATGTGATGGTGTGACAGGTGATAACTGTGGTTGCTACGTAGTTGACGCTCATTAGTTGCCTCGTGGTAAGGGCTCGGTGGATGCCAGGGGCAAGTGAAAGTTTCCTCAGAGCATTTGGGTACCTAGTGTCATAACTATTACTTTGGAAAATATCTCTAATATGCCTCTTCGTTTCCACAGAGAAAACACTAGTTGCGCTTTCTGGGGCACTTGAGAAACATGAGGAGCAGTGGGAGAGAGCAGAGGGCTGAGAATGAGAGAGGCTGAGGAAAACAGCAATCTCCAAGGAGAGGATGGATGAAGCAGGAACTCCTTGAAAGGAGAAGTTGCAGAGACAAAGGGAATCGTCTGACAGAAGAGGAAGTAATGGCCTTACTTTGCAAGAGGCTGACTTTGCTCMGTGCTGGGGAGCTTTGGCTAACAGGAAAAGCAGTGAAACACTGAAATAATTCCTGAAAAGCCACTGCATTCACTTTGTTGGAGGTGTGCAGGTCAGAGTAGCATGGACCAGGCATGGCCAACATGCAGTCCAACCTGCTCTGAGGCGGGTTTGGAGCAGATTTCTAAGTGAGTATGTTAGAAAATAGGTGTGAAAAAAGTGTGATATAGATGAAGTTAATATAATGATTGTATTAGGTATATCTTTGCAGTRTTCAGTTTAATGCAGTGAATTTTACTTGATGACTTCTGAAGGTGGCTGRTTTCTTGCTGGGATGATAAATAGGCTTCCTTGAAGTAGGAAACTTTCTAGACAAGGAGAGGGAGATAGTTGGCAAGCTGCAGACTTAGGCTAGAGGGTTTGCAGTGTTACAGGGTGGATGGCTACGGTTTTGGAGTAGAGAATAGGTGAATTATTCATTGGATGAAATTGGGATAGTACTTGTGTTTGCTTTTAAATTGATGTTGTATACATTTCATTTTTGGGAGGGCACTGGAAATCTGGTACCTAGCAGGGATATCAAATGTGAAGGCTGCAGGTGAAAGAGGCAGCTGGTTTAGTTGATCCAACAACAACAACAAGAGTGGAATGGGTTTGGAGCCAACTGCTTAATGGATTAAGTAGAGTTTTTTTTTTTTTGGTTTAGTTGTGTTTGCTGGATTAACAGCTAGTGGGAATCAGAGCAGCCATAAATTGGGATAGTGCCTATTAATTAAAGCCTCCGTTCTGCAGTAATTTGTAGTGCTTAAAACAAAGCTTGTTGCTCCTTTTCTGCTAAACAGCTTGCCCTCAGAGAAGGGAGGAAAGAAGATTATTGAAGTCGATGTTCCAAAGAGAAAACTTCCTTATGAAGCAAGGCAAGCCTCCTCTTGCCTCAAGGCTCTCCTAATTTACCTGTAGACAAATGTTAATAGGTACCAGAGGCAACGTGAGGATTTTAATTTCTGTTCTAGAGGAGGACCAGTGTAACTGATGCTGAACATCCGAGTGTGGCAGGGTTTTGGCACAGATAGTCCTGTTTTAAAAAATGCAGTGGAAGGTTAATGTTAGACAAGAGAACTTCTTCCTTCTGAGTAAGCGTCCAGGGATGCAAGAAATCTTAGGAGGAAGTGCAGTGAGCTGAAGCTTTCATTTGCTTGGCATGGGTATTGGTTCATATGGATAGGGATTTTTGAACATTTATCCGGAGCWGTTTTCCTTGCTATGTCCAAAACTGCCATAACATCAAAAAAACCCCAATGTTGTTGAGTAGTGTTGTAATAATTTTCCTTTTTTGGCACCTGTAACCACCTCAAGGCCTTTCTGCCACAGGCAGCCTTGCATCTCTGCACTGTTGTTTGTCTCCTGGAACAAATTATTAAACACTGGAAGGTTGGGGCTCACAATAAAACTCATATTGACAGGGAATGACTGCCAGGAAAGTCAGATTTGGAGGAATRTCTTGGTGTTTTTGCTTAGGATGGAAACTGGAAGACTGCTTTAATGAAGTGAACTTTCTTTTCTTGACCTTGCATACTGCTGATGATAACTTTCCAGTGAATGATTAAGATGTGGAAGTTCTAGTGGCTGCCCAGTGCATTGAGGGAGCATCAAGAGAATTAAACGCCCTGCATCTTTGGCTGCGCTTATTTGTCTGACTTCAGATGTCTCCTATAGGCAGATGCAAATTAAAAATTATGGTAAATCTGACTTTAGGAAAGAGACCTCCGGACTTGGCCTCTTTTGTGTTGATTATCCCTTAAGATATCGTGTGATTTTTCTTAGCGCAGGATGGATGCCGCATTTTAATAGGAGCAGGGATGTGCAGTGCCCTGGAACAGGATGAGATGCATCCTGTACTGCTCTACATGGGGAGGTGGCCAGTACTCAAACATAAATACCTGTTTGGCAGAACTTCTATGAATGCGGAGAAAATCCTCACATACATAAAGCTCTCGGAGCCAAATCCACTTACACTGCAGTGAAGTCTCATCTCGAGGGTTTCTTCCATCTGCAGCATGCYGGCCTCATATGCTGCCTTTTATATGAATTTCGCTTGAAATAGTTAAACGCTTTCCTTGTTTCATTACGGATTTTGCTTGGATTTGTAGTTCAAATATGCCCAGAATTCAAGATGTGATTTAGCCATGAAGATAGGTCTCTCCACCAAAGCAAAATTCCCTTTTCTCCTGATCCTTTCCTCCCTTTCCCCATTCCTGTGTTGATTTGCTGTCCTGCTGACTTCTCACCTCACCCTGGCAAAGAGTGTCTATTTATTATTATTATTATTTTATTTTTTGTATCTGTCATTGCCTTTTCTCACTTAAAAGCTGTCTAAACCCCTTAAAATTCAAGGCAAAACAAAGTTTCTAGCCTTCTACCAGATTGACTGTCAAAGGCTACACCTAAGGACTTTAAAAGGCTTGGAGGTAAAGTTTTTCAACATATGAAGTTGCAAGTTTTATACTGTTCAGCTTTTCTGTTAAATTSCTTATTTGTTTCCTAAAGCTGATTATAGACTTGAGCAGGAAGGTTAGGCTTTTGATGAGGTGAGGCCACATCCCGTCATGAACATGAAACCAAACCCTCGCAGCACAAAGCTGACCTGAACTCGCAAGTCGTTTGTTTGCCCTTGTATAAACAGCCTTCCCATGGCAACAACGTGTAATTTAAATTATTCTCCTGTTTGCAGGTGCTTGCTGATCTTAGCGATGAGGAAATTCTCCCTGGGCAGAGGATTTGTCGAGTAGGTTCTCTAAGACAAATGTTCTCCCTCTGAATGTGATCAGTAGGGAGGTTTGGGGATGGCTCTTAGGTTTGTTTGATGAAAATTA